ATTAATCTCAACAATCAAACTAAACCATACAAATAATTATAAACACACCTAAATGATGGCTGAAAAACCCCTTCTGGATAAACAGGAACCTGATTAGAAATATAAAAGTATTTGGCAATTTTCAAAAACAAAGAAATAAATAAGTTAAAGAAATGGGAGACAATCTTTTACACACAAGTAAAAGAATACAAAAGTTCATTCTACCAGGTTATACAAATAACACATCGACAACATGTAGATAGCAAATATTTTGAATAATTTGATTACCTGTACACCTCTCTCCCATTCTTGTCTCCATTGATCTGATATGGTTACATAATTCTCTGGACTTAAATTCTGATGATCTGGCAGTTTCATTGCACTTATCAGATCAGTGCGAAAAATCTGTAACAGTACATTGCAAAATTACAAAAAGATAAGTCTTCAAAGGAACATGCTCCACTTTTAAACCATTTAGTACAGTTTGGTGTGGTCACACCCAAGTAAGTTTCCCTTTAAAATTTGACAAATCATAACGACAAAGTAGACTCTCACTTTGCAATCTTCTGATTTCGTTGATCACTCCTAAGATCCTATTACCATAATCAGCAGGGAAATGACAAGTGCTTGCAGAGTTAGGTAAAACTACACATTTAACCTCTTACCTCTGCAGGTTTGCGACCCTCCAGTGAAAAGCTGGCAGGAGAAGGAGGACGAGAGGATCCTATAGGTACATTTAAAAGTATGTCTAAGAAATCATACTAACACAGCTGTTTAAATAAAAATTGTTTAATGGGGGTAGAATAACAAACAGACAGAAATAAACAGTCATTCATTTCAAATCTCTGGTTCTTTCCAGAGGGTGACTACATAACAGAGGTTTGATTCTTCATGTACTCAACCAACTTAAAAACTTTAGGCCAAGCTCTCTAAGGTACATGTTGAGGAACATTACCTCTTTGAAGTGAGTTTTAGTCATACAAGTACAACTCACCTTTAATCTCATCAGCAATCACTGAACTCAGCAAACTGTATAAAAAAGAAAGAGTTATGATAAATTGATTTTGTTTGATGACTGCACCAATAATTGAACTAAATTTTCATCTAAGGTCTTCTCTCTTGATGACTGGCTGCTCAAACACAATGCAACAAACCAAAAGAGGTTTAGAGTTTTTTTGTCTGTGAAAAATTACCCCTTTATTTCTCCTTGCTTGGCTTTCTTGCTTGCTTTGTTCTTTTCAATATCCACATCAATGTCTAGGAGCAAAAAAGACACAAACTTTGAAACATTGCTCAAATTACTTAACAATACTATAAATAAGTTTATTGTGCCTGGTGCCTGTTAGAAAATGGAGGAAACATAACAAAGCAAAAATGCTTCTGTTTTGGTCTTGATGCGTATAACAACTCTGTGCTAAATATTCACAACAAATAGAGAAAATAACATGCATATTTTTAAAAATTATGCTGTGAAGAATTTGTTTTCACAAACAAGAAAAAGAACAGATAGGGGATTTGGACCTGAGATACATCAATATTTCAAATCCAGCCCCTCAAACTAATTGGCTGTGACATTTCTTCGTGATACTATCACACGAGTTAGAAGAAATCGCTTGATAAGAGCAGTTTCAGGATCACAGTATCGAACCCCCTCCAAACTACATGAGGTCACCTTACAGAGACAGGCATATGTTTTGGCACAATATCATCACTGCTGAACAAATCACACAGCTGGTAAAGGTAAACTTCATGATCCCCAAACACAAATCAATTTGAAAATATCACAATTTCCAGAAGTATTTACTTCAAAAACCTTTTAACACCGCTGGGAAAAAAATTTCAGTCTGCAACGCAATAAGCGAAACTGAAGTTAAAATTGGAATATTTTATGCTAATTCAACCAACAGGCCCCAGGATTAGTATGGCTGCAGTCGTATTAAAATAGAAAAATTCATTACGGAGTGTTATACCGGCTAAATGCAACCTATACATACTCATCCAATTGAAAATATTGCCGCATTATCAGTTATAATTCGTATATTTTACTGGCTCCGGAAAATTACGCAAGTACATAATTCGATACACGGAATAAGATGTGAAGCTTTGTCACAAATGTACATTACCAAAAGAAGAAAATTGAGTTTATCTTCCCACAAAATAAACCCACCAGGTTTTCTTAGAAGCACTACTGTGCTAAAAGGAAATGTTTTGGGCAAAAACTAAATCTCATAAATAATACATTCGCTTCCGAGTTAAATCACATGGTTTGAAACCCGATAACAAACAATACCAAAACATGCAAAACCGTGCGGTGTGCTCAACCCACCGTATAATTGCACCGATCGACGTTTTGTACTGCGTATTTTCATAACCATCACGTTTAGAATTCTTCAAAATGATGTCCTTTGACTTAATTTGTAATGACGAAAAACGAAACAGACATATCGGTAGGTGAATATATTTTCCCAAGGAAGCGGTTTAGTCACGAATTCAAGGGCGCCAAAGCTTGCTAACAGAGGGGAGTAATTGTGTGCTAGTACTAGTATAAGATTAATTCTAAATGTGGCAAAAATCTGCCGAATGTAAGGTTAGATCTCTGCAGTTATAAGCCAGCTAAGAGAGAAGAACAAGTCGTTCAATATCCCGCCTTTTATGGCAGCCTAAAAGATCCCACATCCTTGCATAAATTACAAAACAAATGGTCGAAACGACAAATGGAGGCGAGGTCTTACCGTCGACAACGTCGGCGCTCTTTCTGTCTTTTTTCGCTGTCGAATCCATACCAAATCTTGCACGTGTGTCGCCTAAACATCAATCTTGGTTTTGAAATCACATTGAACATAATTCCAAGGCATTTTCCCTGGAAAAAACAGCTATATTTTCATCTTGCTATACTATTCCCGCCATAGGCAGACATCATTTTGCCAGGAGTCACTCAAGCATATCCAAATGACGTCACCATATTTGGAGGGACAGCAAATCTCGTTCCCAGGGTCCATCCTAGCCTGGTCCTTCTGGAAACGAGGATGAATTAGCTGAAAACGAGGCTAGATTTTACAAAGGTATTGAATAGTCTCCATCAAAACAGTGTAACCATTATACGATAAAACAACAGGAGTTAAATACAGTAAACTATTCCTTCTCCCTTTAATTTTTTTCTTTCGATGGTCTACAAAATTTGCAAATTCTTTGTTGCCCTACATTTCTTAGCTTAGATGTTTCCAAGTATTGTTGTCTCCTCTGTCGTGCATTTATAGTGAATTCGCTTATCTGGCCGTATGCCTAAACATCATATTCGTCTGATCCTCCAGTGGCAGTTCGGACGAAGTTATAGAATTCTATGCTAGCCTGTAATTTTTTAAAACTGCAGTTTCGAGAAAAAATCGCTAAATTTTCACGGGTATGCTTTCAATCCCACACCACGTGATCCAGTGTACTAGTTATAAATAGCGATTAGATATCCTATCCTAACCAAAAGGGAAGACCGGTCGAATAACAAAGAAGGTTTGAACGATTCCTAATGACGATAACCTTTCCGATAATGACAGGAACTTTAAAATAAGTTTATCGGGGTAAGAAAGTGAAACTGTTTTCCTAGTCAAACTTATACTGTACTAAATAAGTAGCCCATTATTTCAATATTTGATACTTCCATTTATAATATTTTTAACTACGAGTTAACAAAGACTTATCAAAGCAACTGTATCTAATTCAATACGCGTTACTTCTGATACTGGCCAACGAAAGTGGTCAAAAACTATTTATCAATACTTGGAAGTTTTCGATAAAGCTATCCTTCTTGTATTTGACCATGTATCATTTTATACTTCCTATTTGAATGTGACGCTGCCTTGCACGGAATCCACGAGCCATTTAGAACGACAATCTTTGATTTGAGATCGGTTTGCCTGGGGGTTAGATTATATTTGGCGGAATTTTTTTAAACTTCCGTTGCTACTGGGAAGCCACGAGGGACGTGAATGCATTGCTCGATTGATTCGGTCAGTCGGCTGCGCTATTGCAACAGCCGAAAAATTTCGTGCCCCCAATTAATAGGTGCACAGTGAGTGCAAAATTGATCACCGCTCTCTTTTAGTCCGCTAATACTGGTATTCAATCTATCCCGCACAAAAATATTAACAGTTAAAAGAATTTACTCTGAACAGTTCAGACGCTTGAAGGCACTCACTAAATTTCTGAATTCAGTTGCCGGCGGTTTGCTCTTTTTTTTTGCAACATAAATATTTTATGACAATGCACTAATGAATGTCTATCAAAACATCGTCTGTGTTTAGACAAGACTTATTTCTATATGTGCGCAGATACTGTAACAATTGACATAAAAGAAGCCTGATATCAGTGAAAGTAAAATATAGGATTAGCTTTGGAGTCTGATAAGCTGTTTAGTCTGGTACATGCTTGTAGGCAGTTTTTTTTCGACGTGTATAAGTACAAACTTAAGTAATAAAAACGTGACTGAGATTTCCAGCGCTAGTTTAAAAGTACTTTCTCGGCCATATTCTGTTCTTATCTTGTATTCAATTTTACTGTTTTGTCTCGCATAGATTTAAATATTTACACCAGCTTGCTGATATAGCAATGAAAGTTAAAAAAAGATCAGAAATCAATAGAAGAAAAAAAATGTTTTGCGAGCAGACAGTTCCTCTTTCCCGTGAGCTGAAAGGGAAGTTTTGTTTTTTGGAAAACGATCGTCCATCCTTATCTTATGTTTTCAGATCAGCTTATGATCAACTTAAACAATTACTCTCAGAGCCAAGTTTACATTTTAGACTACTTTAGCGGCATAGCGTTCAATTATGATAAACAAACATAAACACTACATTAACTTTAGTTGTTTTCTTACTGAACCCAAATGTCTCAGAGTGAAACTGTTCAGCTGTTTAACACATGAAGCGTCAAGGATTTTTGTAATGCAACAGTAACCACTGACAGCGCACTTGTGCCGATACAGGATAAGTGGTAACGAATGCGGAATGTTTTAAATTAATTATGGATGATTTCAATTGCGTGATGCGGATTTGACTCTTAGTGATAAAGAGGTCACTACGTCTATTTATCTTTAATTTCATTGCCCAAACGAGTTTACCCATTTAACTTGAAGATTAACGGCACCGAAAGCGCAGTTTAAAGTAAGTCAAGCGAGTACGCCTCCTGTCAATACAAAAAAACATCAGAACAGGCATGGACACAACCTCAACGGCTCAAAAACCGAAAGGTAAAGTAGCAGTTCACAGGGTGAGATCGTGTCCACAACCTTTCGATTTAATGTTCCAAATCGCTTGCAGTAAGGAATCATTAGATTCGGAGTTTACAGAAGGAAAGAAGGTTATTGATTTCCTACGTCGAGCTGGAAAAGTAGTCGAATTGGACGCCATTACTGCATCTGGGATGACTGCGCTTACACAGTGTGTTCTTGATGGTAATTTCAGGAGTGTAAAAGCTTTGATAGAACTTGGAGCGAATGTGAACAAGAAAGATGGACAAGGATGGACTCCTTTACACTACGCAGCCAGCGAAGGGTACCTTGAAATCGTCAAGTATTTGTTACGTTGCGAGGCTGATGTGCGCGCGTTGGACGGCAATAAACAAATGCCTGTTGATGTGGCAGAAGCCGAGGACGTGCGCAAATTTTTGTCGAGAGTCACTTTATTCTATTCGCCCATGAGTAGAAATCTGACAAGAAAGGCTAGTTTACCAGCTTGGTTATAGTTGTACAGTACGCTTTAGTTTCTGTTATTTTTGGTTGAAATAAAGAGAAAGAAAAGGAAAAGAGGACGCTGGTAAAGAATTGCGAATATCAACCGTTATAAATTGGATCACCTGTTTCCTGATCAGGATCCTTAGCGCTACTTAGCAATATCGCCGGAATGACGCACTTCCGTGAAGATGTTATCATTGTAACGGGAGGAAGTGTGGGAATGAGCGGCTGCTACAAGATGACGGAGTCTGTTTCTAGGGCACATTATTCGCTCGGCCTGTAAAGACAAATATTCATAGAAAACTATTGCTGCCATGATGAAGAGTATATAGTATAGCTTGTAGCGAGTTTATTTTCCGTAATGAAGTAGCAAATCGAACAGCTCGATAAATGTAACCAAAATAAAGCATTTTAAGTCTGTAAGTCGGTTTCCTGTCGTTTTCTATCAATAAAGCTCGCGCAAGCGCAGTTATGATCATATATGGTTGAAAAAATTTGGCATGAGCACGTTAACTCAACCACCCCACCCTCCCTTTCTCAATCCTTACATTTACGCATAAGTTACATAGCATAACCGCTGATTCTAATAAGCGCATTGAACACAGAAGAAAGTTCTCAAAAATTCATATTTTATAAACACGGGTTAACGAAAGCAAATGGTTTAAAGTGTTATTCTGGTGACTAATTCAACATGGGGACTTATTGTAAAGGGCGTCTAAGTTTGTTCCTAATCATCGGAATTGTTTTAATGTGTCGTGCAACCGTAGCGTGTGCTGCAGTTCCCGACGAACTTGAAGGTCTTGCCGGTCGCGTCTTGATGGCTTCATCAGAGGTCCAGGCAAATGATCCTAAAGAGAAGCCGAAAGGTACCGATTCTGTATCCTTTGTGCAGCCTGTTGAGGAAGAAGTGGTAAGAAAGTATTTTAAGTGTGAACGCAAGTGGCTTTTTGCTGAAGAAAATGACCTCTTGGCTATTTTAGAAACACTAGTGATGCGTGTTGACATAGTATCTACTGTGCGATTGATCCAGCTTGTGGTCAACTGAACTCGTGATTGCAATTCGTCATAGTTTTGAATGTATTAGTTTATCAAAAATGCCACAAATTTCTAATTAACTATAATTTAATTCAATAACACTTAGGGAGGGTGATGTAAAGTTTTCCTTGTGTCACATGATTGACTAATTTGGCAATTATTTAAATGTAAACATGGAAAGAAAGCCCACGTTCTTGATACCTTCTCAATAGCATCACTAAAGCAGTTTCCCATTTTCCACCTGTTGATGTCCATAAGAAGAAAGTTGGAATGCATGATAAAAACCCTATCAACCCTGGGTGGTGGGCAGATTGATTCAACAGAACATGTGGAGGGTTATGGCCAATGATAGAGCAGACTGAAGAGAAGAGATAAATTACCAAAGAGATATAACAACAACCTTTTATTATTTCTCTGTCATCCAGTTTTTCTTTGCTTGCATTGATTTGAAATGGGTTTAAGCAAAAAGTTATGTCCTTTAAAATTTTGAATCCATTACAGCATGTGCTATAAATATTGAAGAAATGTGACTTTGATTACACTGTATCAAATAATAGTATCACTGCACAACTTATTGGTATTTCATAGAGAGAAAGTAAAAGAAGATACATTTGCTCTCCTGATTACCTGAATGATTATGCTGAAACAAAATTATCCACCTCAGACTCAGTTAGTGTTGCTGATTAATTCATTATCATCTAGTAACAGTGAGCTATTTTTCTTCTCCAGAATGGTATTTTCCAAGGCTCCTTGGCAAAGCAATCATCTGCCTCTGGTGGTTCCTGGGGTGTTTCTAGTATTGAATTCATTCATGCCTTTGTGGCTGCTCTATCTGTGATCATTGTTTCAGAACTTGGTGACAAGACATTTTTCATTGCTGCCATTATGTCAATGAGACATCCAAGGCTTGTTATATTCACGGGAGCTATGCTTGCCCTTGGTTTGATGACAGTTCTCTCAGCGGTACTGGGATATGCAACAACTGTCATTCCAAGGAAATACACACTGTACATATCAACAGCACTGTTTGTATTTTTCGGTCTTAAAATGTTAAAAGAAGGTTATGATATGGACCCTAACGAAGGACAAGAGGAGTTAGAAGAAGTACAAGCAGAACTTAAAAAGAAGGAAGCTGAGGTCTGGTCAGAAAAAAAAATTACTTAACACTCCATTTTCTATCATCTCCTTGTACCATAGTTGTGAGGGCTCAGCACATAACATGCATACACATGGAGGAAGTGTGTTGCTTGACCAACCTCCACTATGACAAAGGGTTTATGCTCAGGAAGTCAGCTTGAGAAACTCTTTACAGTGACCAATTCACAACTTAGGTGATAAAACCAAATCATCTTGTAGTACAGGGTAATATGGCATTATCAACTGAGTTGATACCATAAATCGGCCACTGCAAAGAGTTTCAAAGCAGACATTTCAAGTGGTAGCCCTTTTTTGGAGCAAATATGGAGGAATTTGTGTTTTTATTTTTTCCAGTTTAGATCTTATTTGAGATGGGTTTTGGAATTTCTATGTCTACAATTTTTGTTTGTTTTGTTTTGGTGTCCAAGTTTTCCTTTTTCAATAGTTGGTTTTAAATTATTATGAATTAAGACACAGGGTTTTTGGGTCTTCTTCACTGGCTTACGAATCTAGTCCTTATACTTTAACATTTCACCTTAATTTAGATCATTGTGATTGCCTTTTTTTCAGTTTTTAGCAATTTCATTTTTCATTTTGGCCATCTTTTTGGTTTCTGATTTCATTATGTAATGATGCATACAAAAAGTGATTTTATCCTTGTTCTTTAGTAAAATTATGGTCTATTTTTGTTTAGATGGAGAAGGATGATTCATCCACCATCACTCAAGATGTAGAAACTGGTATAATAAGAGGAGGAAAGAAGCCTGCAAAGTTCTTTGGTCTTTGCTCACCCATATTACTACAAGCATTTACTCTAACATTCCTTGCTGAGTGGGGTGACAGGTCACAACTGGCTACTATACTCCTGGCATCTAGAGAGGTATAAATGGATTCACCCTTTACACCCTAACATCAATATTCTTTATACATTTCATGCTGATAAGAGAAATTAGTTTGACAATCAAGAGCTTCTTGAGTTTGTGATCATTACCTATATTGAGGTCACCTTTATGTGTAATTCAAGGGTGAAAATGTAAGGAGAAATTAAATTCTAATAGCTCTTAGGGGTCAAAAGTTAATTCCTTTCATTGAGAGGACTTATGAATGGGAGAAAAGGATGTATCTTTACTTATGTGATCTTTTCTTAGATGACTTAAACTGAATTTCTGCACAATATCTCATCCTCAGAATGTAGTTGGTGTGACAATAGGTGGAACATTAGGACATGCCCTGTGCACTGGCCTAGCTGTGATTGGGGGAAGACTAATTGCTCAAAGAATATCTGTCAGAACAGGTGCCTATTTTAAACATACCTTATTCTCATACTTAAGAAAATATGTAGTGAAGGAGGAAATACCTCTATCAAGTGTCACAGATTGACAGCTCTGCTGTAGGGCTGGAGGGTGGTAAGTGGCACTAGACAGTGAGACTGCAGCTTTTGTGTGAGCTCAGATACTAAAGGAATTCAAAGTAAAATCAACATTGTTGCTTAAATTTGTGGTGAACAAATTAAGAATGCAAGACCTATGGAACAGGTGACGATATTTTGGAAGAACTGGGACATCTTTCTCTCATTGTTTACTAAGTCATTTCTAGTTTCAATTTTTTTCATGGCTAGAACCATATTTTTTTTGCTTAGACACCACTGCTGTGGTAAAATAAAATCGTTCCTTTTTATCTCTTTGTTGAAAAAAGCAAACTGTCTTGTAGTGCAAAGACCTGAAAAGCAGATAGTTATGTTACAGTTAGTGTTAAAAAAATATTGACATGCAATGTTGATTTTTTTATCTTCCAGTTACAATCATTGGTGGAGTTGTCTTTTTGATATTTGCATTAACAGCATTTTTTATTGAAGAGTAAATCAAGAATAATTTGACTAAATAAACAGATATACCTACCATATACAAGAATGAACAATAGAGACTTCATGTACCAGTGTGTGCAATATACTGTGAACGTGATCAGCTGTAAAGCTGTGACACTGTCCTTGAACCCTTTTACTCCCAAGAACTAAATCTAGATTCTCCATACTGTCTGCATACATTTCTTTTAAAGTATGCTTGGAGAACTTAGCAGTATCCCACTGTGGATATTTTTCTTCCTTCTAATTACATTTCTGCTTGAAAGTGAAGGAATGTTTTGCAGACAGATTCTTTTGCAATAACTCTTGGGGGGTTGAAGGGTTAAAACTGGAAGTGCATGTCTGAGTGTATAGATATGAGAGATATTGTAGTTATTGTTGTTAGATCAAGTTCAAGTGCAATGCTTTTTGAAGCAATGATAATGATATTGATATTATTGGCATGATCATAACCATTACAATTTCCTCAAATGTGATTGGTGCATCAGCTGCTTCATTTTTCAGTAATCATTCTGTGCAGTTGTAATCCAACAGTATAATCCAACAGTATAATCTGACGGTTGGTTGTAATTAGACACCTGTAATCAGACAGTTGAAGCAGCCAATCATACAAGGTTCACTCAGCTAAATCCACCAATCACAGAATTGATCATAATAACCATAGCAACAACCACTTATCCAAAGGGAAAAAAGGCAATTTCCAAAATGGAGGATATTTGTTCTAGGTGTATTTGTTTTTTCAGAAATTGAAATGGTTATATGATTAATTGGTAACAGGACTTCTTGTTGTTGAATTCTGTCTGTAATCATACTCGTGATAAACAAATCGGACTCCTGCTTTTCGGTCGTCCGATTTTGTTAATCACTCGCATGAGTACAGACCAAATTGGACTCCACTCAGTCCTATTACCATTATTAATTGTTGTTATTATTGTAACATTTGTACATTAATTTCACTTTTAATCCAGTTTAGGGCAGATTTGTAAGGGAAGCTAAGGGAATGCATATCTTAGCCTATCCTGCAACTGAATGTTTTATTCAAATATGACTTCAAAACACATGCACTGTCCATTATCAGAAAATGTCTGTTTAAACTTTTGTCCTACTGTTTGGTGAAATTCAGAGCAGAGACAGAGTGGCTCTCTCTGCCAGAGCCAATCTCTGTTTCTGTTGCATCAATCTACTGAGTATTGTTATTCCTATTGGATAAGATGTTAGTTGATTGTGGGCCACTACCATTACACACCCCCCCCTCCCCCACCCACCCTTCAGCATTTTGTTAGCTTCCCTTGACAGCTCCTTGGCTCTCTTACTAGTAGATGGAGGGAGACAATGTGAAAGCATTGTGTCATGCCCAGTACCTCCCTTTACTTGGGAATATCAATGAGTACCACATAGTCTTAATGAATACTGTGATTTTTTTTTTGTTTTGTTTTGAACTGGAAAAAATACTATTTTATCCCTCAGGGATATCTATGATTATTTTTGTCTTGTGAATAAGGGCAGAGTGAGAATAAGTTTGGTTTTTTTTACACCAAGCTTTATTCCTTAACTCTGAAAGTTGTAGCCTTGACATTCATTAATGAAACAAACATTATCATAATACTATTTTACATACATGTATGAAATCATGTGAATTTTTATCAATGGCAATATTATTTAAAAGAGAAATAATTACTGCATGGTCAGTCAGAACAGATGAAAATTGTTCTTTAAGAAAGAAACAAAAGTTAAGAGGCTTCAGTCATTATTGTTTACAGAGGAAACACTCTCAGTTTCCTGGTGGCTTTGTTTGCAATCTTTTGCTTATGGGTAGATTTTTTTTAAACCCAACTAAATTAAATTTTTTGTATGACTTGTGCGAGACTAGTATAGCCCTGAGATGACCTCTCCTAGGTAGTGATGACTGATGTTAGCACAAATTCAGCAGTAATCATCACAAGTACAATTTAGTAACAAAAAAATTCTGTGTTGGCAGGAAAAATGAAAGTAACTGCATGTTTCTTTATACACTGAACAATTAAAAGCTAAAGCATGTCTTTTTGTTTCATTTTTTTAAATCTTTTAGCACATGGTTTCCCTACAAAATAAGAGCTGTGTGCTAAATTCCATTAAGTAAAGAATGAAATATTTCATTTCCCACTGGTAGGGAAGAAAAAAAAATTGTATTGCCTGAAGTATCTCAGTATGGAATCATTATCTTCTCCCCTCTAACTCAAAAGTGAGGGTAAACTAGAAGTTGTGTTAATCAGTGCTCTGAATGATAGAAAAGAAGTTATGAAATATATGTAGAGTTGCTGTTGATGAATTAAAGTTGTATTGAACTTGAGTGTGTGCCAGCTGGTTAAAGGGCTATTCATATGAAATTGCTGCTTTCTTAATGGTGGGTCAAATGCAGTTTTGTGTTGGCTTGTTTTAGTTGTTATGTGGCACAAATTTAAGATGTGGCAAGAACACGTGGCCATCTGGTCACAAGCAGCTCTCTTTCCCAAGGTGTAATTCAAAATCCTCTGGGAATGATAAGAAGGTAGCTTTGATGAAAAAGTATCATTGTTCACTTGTGATCTTTTTTCATTCCTCACTTTTACTATCCACCGTCATTACTTCATGTTCAGAAGGAAATGGACATCATGTTCTTCAGTACTTGGTGAGTTTTGTGAATTGAACTGATTGTGTATAATGGATTAAATTAGTGCTTCTTAGAGTTGGTTGTAGTTCTCTTAAAGAGGATGTCACTTTCTCCCTTAATCCAGTTCTCTCAAAAGGAATGACTACAACTCTACTTAAATTTGATTGGTTTACAGTGAACAATTCAAAATAAAATCCCAGCTAAAATCAACCTTGATTTTTTTAAAATTAAGAAATAATTTGCATGATGATTTCAGGAGGATGATACCATCACACTACCAAGAAGAGGCAAACATGTTTTCAATACCAATAGCAATTCAGAGATGTCAATGGTCTTTCTACTGAAGTGTAGTGTGGACAAAATCAGTAAGAAATGATTAAAGTTGTGAGATCTTTATTAAATTGACAAGTTTATTTCTGTACATAGGCTTAATCCTCACTTTCCACCTTCTGTGTTTGCAGACCTATGAAACATAAAAAGAAAAAAATTGTCAACTCGCAATCAAAAATGTCTAAATACCAGACATTTAATTATTACTAAAGACCACAGTCCCCTTTCTTATTTAAATATTGTTTCAGAATCCAATTGATTCAGAATAGCTTCAGAGTCAGGCTAATGAGAAATAGTAACTAATGACAGCTGTGGAAGGGTAATAAAAACTTTTGGACCAACTTTTATTCCTGATAATTACTCACACAAGTTTGGCAACTCAAAAGTAATGGCCACCTAGACATGTTTAAATATAATTTCTCAAAGTAGCAGGGACACTTTTTTAGACCCTTCAGATATATATTTTCCACAACAGCTTTAGAGCTGTAAAAATGATTACAAGAGAAACCATTCTGCATACTTTTTAAGATTTTCCTAGATTCCTCTCATACAGAGTATGATAAACATAGCTATAAATTTTAAGGGAGTTCTTCTGTTTCAACAACACAACACTGACCCTTGAATGAAGCCACAGGGACATGAGTGACAAGAGTGTACAGCTTGTGAACAGAGTCTTCATCTTCGTTCCTTTTACGTGCTAAACGAATCCTGACCCTGAATGGCACATTTCTATTTGAGACAAAATTCTGTTGTTAGATTACAATATGAAAGTAAGAGACCCCTTTAAATGTTTGTTTTGCCATTAACTGAAAGACTACAAAACTTTTCACTGCATCACTTCTGGGATGTTAGTTTTTTTTTTCCTTATGTGTAAAGATATAAAAATGTGTACCATGCTAGTAAACAATATTATGACTGTGTTCTGAAAATTCATGGGTGACAACCAATAACAGTGTTTTTACCCTCAGATCTACAGGCAGTGCATCATACTACAGTTCACTTGTATCCATAGTTCAAATCTTAATTTTCCCCACTGGTAGATATTGTTCAGCATGAAAATAACTCAAACCAAATGAAAGTAAAATTCAAACCATGTTAAAACTGAGCCACAAGATAAAAGGGAGTAGCAGGTAGCTAACTTCATTAATTACTCTACAAAATTTAAATGGTTACAATTGTCATTAGTTCAGAATGTGACTAGATGATGATAAAACTGGGTAATTTAGTGTTAAAAACTAAGTTGAAAACGTAAATTAGCCATCCTAAAGTGTAAAAAAGCTGATGTTTCGAGTGTTAGCCCTTCGTCAGAGCAATAGACAAAGGGCTAACGCTCGAAACATCAGCTCTTTTACCCTTTACGATGGCTGATTTACGTTTTCAACTCAGTTATTAACACTAAATTACCTGCTACACTCTCCCACCAACGCAGCACCACAGTTTCTTTAGAAACTTACCCCTTCATTCATTGATGATAAAATTGACTGCAAAAAAACACCAAAAATGTACCCGAAACAGTTCATCTTCAAATCTTTACCTTAACACTCCCTTAATGTCAAAAGTAATTCTTCTAAAAGTCTGCTTAACTCTTTTATTCCATGAGAGTTTTAAGAGTGTGGCTTAATTTGAAATAATTTCTCTCAGTTTATAGTTTTCTCTATGCTCATCACCTATCTGTTTAATATTGCAAGGAGAATTACTTCTTGATCACTCTTGGAACTAAATAGGTTAACAGAAACTCCACTCTAGTGGATGATAATGGCATACCTGATTCCCTTGGACCACACATGTTTGTTAAGGTTGGTGTCAACACGAATATCAGGTGTTCCCATCATTTTCTCAGCAAACTTTTTGATTTCCTTGATGGCCCTTGGTGCTCGTCTCTTGAAGCCACTGTTGTGGAAGAAAAGAGAACTTACAATTGATATATCATCATGAAATTGTAACATAAAAGACTTTTAGGTTTGTTAGATGTCAGAGACCATTCAGCCACTATTTACACTTGTTAAATACTAGACAGTAAAAGAGATACAATTAAAGTTCTGGAGGTAATGTGGTAAATAGTAAAAAAGCTGAACCGATCAGCCTGTGTTCCTTTGTTTGAATGCTTGATTCCTATAACTCATCTCAAATTTCGAAGGTTTTTAAACTAAATAGCTTGGGTATCACAGAAACAATAAAGCAGGCTTTGAATTCTGAGTGAGTCGTCCAAAAAAAAATATATGTATCATTTTTGAAGAAATATTACACAGAATAGACAAAGTCACAACTAGATTTTATGCTCAAAATCTACTGTCATTTAATCCAAGTAGAGAACAAAGTTTTCCACATTGAAACAGAAAGACGAGCTCGTGCTCTATTACATTACCCTTAATTCCCCCAGCCTCAAGTCTGACCCTGATAGAGGCTGCAGCAATAGGAAAAATAAGCAAACGGTACTAACAAGTCTCAATAAAACATTTTCCTTTTCCAAAAAGTTTTGTCTACCCCTCGGCGAGCTATAGCTCAGAATGTCGTTATTGCAAGAACCAATTCGCTGCTAATTCAAGACTTATCCTTCCTTCAGATTGTTTCCCCACCAATCGTCGGATTCTAATCTAAAGAGCTAAACCAATACATTGCTGTCACCTTCCAGGTAAAAGTCATTCCCTTTAAAAAAAAAACCAAAAACACCGAACTTACATGCCATGGATTCTCTTGTGTACGTTTATCGTGTATTCACGAGTCACAACTTCATTGATGGCAGAGCGCCCCTTTTTCTTGTCGGTTTTCTTAGCCATCTTACAAAATAAAAAAACGAAGGATTAAAATAAAATATTTCATGTTTTAATGACAAGAATTTACAGGACTTTGGGTCAGATGGATTGGATATCTTAAGGTTCTTAATACACAGTAACAGACCTTCAAGGACGACTTTGGAGAGATCGCCTTGATGGAGGCAGCATAGCATTGTGGGATGCAATTGGTCAACACCAGACTTCCCCGAGGACGCTCGGGGAAAGAAAGAAGTCATGTGTAGGATGGACTCGTGAAATGGACCCTCGGACTAGAGCTAAGACCGAGAAAAAACAAGTACTTTAAATAGTGCGGGCTAAACTTCGCGAGATAAATCAGAAATTCTCTGGAATAGTAGAAAGTATTTAACCCCTGATTTAAAGTTTTAACATTTCTTCTGACAGGAGGCAGTTAAATGGGCTCCTGTTTGTGAATAATATTTACCATGATTAAAGCCCCCCCCCCCCCCCCAAAAAAAAAAAAAAAAACAAAAAAAAAAAACCGAAATCATTGATAACGAACAAGACAATTTTACGCATAACTTATTAGAGGCTTATCAAAAGTGAAAATTGGTCACGAAAAGAAAAACTAATCATATTTCGTTTATCGTAACTTTCTATTGATTATGTTACCGTTTACACAAAAACGGAAATTACAGGTATTACATTTGCATAAATGTTTCATCATTTCTATTTTCTGATGCATATACTTAGAGCTGTGTACCACTTTACATCTCGTTCTTTTTCTCGTTCAAGATAATTTGACGTTATCAACTGAGTTGATAAAGAAAATTGGCCACAGCAAAGATTTTCTAAAGCTGACGTTGCGAGCGTTGACTCTTTGTTTGAGCGTTCACTTTGTAAGGTCGTGCTTATTTACCAGGTAGCTAGAATGCTAAATTAGCACTTAAAGAATTTTAATTGAGTCGTACTATTTACTAGAATGGAAACTGATTGTCTCTCGATGAAACTTGTTCAAT